GAAAATTAAAAATTTATTCTCTCTAAAATTACCTAGGCAATGGTGAGCGCATATCAAAAATAACGTCAATTTTGCATTTTTCGTAGAGAAATAATTTACGTTGGATTGTATTAACTAAATGTCCACAACATCTGATCTCCTAATTATCTAACTTTTGATTGCTATTCAATTAATTTACCAAAATGCAAGGGCAAAGTTCATCAACCTATTTATGTACAAGCTTCATTATATACAAGTCTACACCTAGTATAGGCTATCTATAATTCTTGTATACCCAATTCTCTTTATAAGGGCGCATTTAACACGAAAAACTACATCTAGCGATTGCTATTAAAGTTGCTGATTTATGTGCATTTATCTGCCCAATGGCTGTATAAATAGATAAATTATCTAGTGTAGAGATTTAGTGCTTTTTTATTTAGCTGTGGCTGGTATTTATCTTCAAGAAATTACTGTAAACATTCCAATGGCCTTCAAATGGAATGCAATCCAATATATAAATATAGAAGTGTGTAGATATGTATCCATTGACCTTTATTTGTGTTAATATGCTAGCATAATTGATTTGTCTGACTGCGCATCGGAAGCCAGTAGTTGCTGGCGTTATACATGGCGTATACGTAATATATACTGTTTTAGTCTACTATCGTATGCAAAAATACAGTTAAGTTTAATTTATTTATAGATTGTTTACGCAGTATTTTAACTATAAAAATTTACAAAAGAAAAATTTAACTTAAGTTTCATTATTTCTGTACAGTATCTTGCTTTCATTGCCTTCCCTCTCTGTTGAATGTCATATTGGAAAATAATTCATTACGAACCGTACACTATTTTGTCGCGCACAAGTCACGTAGATCCATAAACAATTCAGTATTTACATAACGAATCATTTCTGTTGACATATTAATGGCTGCTCTTCAAGTTGTCTTGTTATTTGCTCTTTGCGCGCCTGCAACGGAACGTGATACAGCAACTGACACTTTCGCCAGCAGAAATGGTTTAATTAAATCAAGCGATTAAATAAGACTGAAGAAAAATGTATTGCATCACGATATATAATCATTAATCTATAGGAAGGTGCAAAGTGGCAATATGACACTTTTTGAAATTTAATGAAACTGACAGCAGTGCATTAGTTCAATAAGTATTCTTACATATGAAAAGTAGTTAAACTAATTTAATTAGAAGTTTATTTTGACGGGTTAAGGAGAAATTGTTGAAAAATCAAATCAGATTTCCTGCAGTTTAAATAATTCTGGTGAATAATGATATTATGGGTTTAACATATATTTTGCTTTTAGTCTTTAGATCGCGTATCAAACTACGCAAATTTTTTTCACAACTTTTAATTACCTATAATTTGTTCTAAAATACTAAATATGTTTTCGAAAATTTTCACTATATCTATATATTTTGAAGTATTTTGAGTTTATGAATATATAAAGGCAACCAGAAGGACGGAAATTCCTGTATTGTGGCTATAAGAAAGAATCGATCGTTTTCATTTACTTTTGGCAATAAACTAAAGTAAGCTTAAAAAAATATATTCATACCATTTATGGTACATTACGAGGATTGCATTTTATATTTCGGGATTAGAGAACAAAACCAAACACATCGATAATCGTTTTGCCTACATTTGAACCAAATGTCAAAGCACTTTTGCCACCCTGATTGAGGTATCTCCAAATTTTCATGCGTTCACAACTCATCCACCCTCTCTTCAGTTGTCGAAAAACGTTGACCTCTTGTTTTAATTTTTTTTGTACGGGAGAAAAGAGAAGTCATTCAGTGCCAAGTAAGGAGTATACGGATTGATGAGTCAACCTCAAATCGATATTTTGAGTACTCAGCATACAGTTATTTCAGTCGATGTGTGAGAGCTCGCATTGTCGTGGTTCAGTTCTTTAAAGACAACTAGTAAACACTCCGAATTTACTGTTCTGCGTTGTTCTAATTGTATGGTTGCGACACGTCCAGTTCTCTCAAAAAACAGGCAACCATATGCTTGGAAGTGCTTCGTGCGCGAACAACTTTTGTTGGATTTGAATTATCTTGAAACACCTATGCAGTTGACTGCTGTTTACTTTCGGGGTCATACGCATAAATCCACGATTCATCATCTGTCACGATGTCAGAAATTTATTTCAAAGCACCGCTATCATATTTTTCTAACATTTTTATTGACTAATCGACACGAGCTTTTTTTGAGCAATTGACAAATTGTGTGAGATCCAATGTGAACAAATATTGTTTACAGTCAAATGTTCATATGTACAAAATTGAATGTATGCTGGTCCCACTAATGCCTATAGTTGTCAAAATCTCACGATAGGTCGCATTACGCTCTTTCAATATCAGTTTGCGCTCATCATCAATAGTTTCCACAATAACAACTGATTTTGGACGACCTTCACCTCGATTGAATTCACCATACCATCGATAAATACTGGTCTTTGATGGAGCTTCATTGCCAAAAATTTAATTAAATTTATAGATGCCCTGTTGCTAAGTTAATTTACGTCGAGTTGTAAAAAATATTAATTCCAAATTTCAAATAGCTCTTCAAATTTTTGACAGATTTACTGATATTTTCGATATAAAGCCAGGCATATTCGACATCTTAATACTAGAAAAGTTATGGTGCGGTTTCGAGCAATTTGAAATGATTGCAGTAAAATTTAAGTTTTTTAACCGCAATGCTAAACATTTTGGAACCCGTCTGAACTTATAGTAGATTAATAAGTGTAACAATAATTATATTTAAATTAAAAGTGGGCAGCAACGTTCATGGGTAGCTTTTGCTTTTTAATCGAGTTCCATTCTGAAATACACATCTTTAACATTATTAATTTCAGAACAAAAACTGTCTGGTTATTAATGATTTTCAATTATTCAATTTCGATTATCGAATTTCTTATATAACAAGTTAAGTCAACTTAGGCGCATTTTAATTCTGATCACAAATTTTCCAATGCCCACTAAGTGTCACCCTTTAACTAACACAAGTGCAATAAGTAATCTTCACACCATTCTTACCTTAATTATTGTGTGTGATTTAAATTATTTTCACAATTCGAATGTTGATTTTTCTTAAATCATTTAGGCCACTTTTAAAAATAAGACATCAAAAATATAGTAAGATTTTTACTCATTATATTATATAATAAAGGTTGCAATACGTTTTAGAAATATATACCGTTTTAGTTTAGGGTGACATTCACATAAAGGCGGTTTAAAAAAAAATCGGTGCATAAAAATATTATAACTGCCGACTAGAAAAAGTAAAAAAAAATTTAATATATATATAAACGTATATGAAATACAAAACTGAGCTAAGTAGCACATATAGTGGACATTGCAAGTCAAGTGATGTGGAAAGTTTAAAAAATTTGCACGATTGGAATAAATATTGATAAAAACTGCGTCATGAAAGCACAATCTAAACTCTCAAAAGATCGTTGTTTTGTTTCGGAAGTGTGTTTTGCAACAAATGCATAATTCTAATACATTGTAATATAGAGTATGTATTAACATGGGTTACAACGGTAGCTATCAAAAAAAATTGGAATTGTCTTCAATTTTTCGGAACATGGAGTTGACTGAACTAGGTTAATTTAAATTCAAATTAATCTCTAATTGTAAATATAATATATGAATTCCTTAAATTACAGGCTGCTTATCAGCACCGTTAATGCCTATAAATCACTTGATTTATTTATTTAAACTATAATTAGTTATTTAAACTATAATGGCAGTCAGTTATCATCGATTAGAAACTCCTTTATTACATTTACATTTTTATAACTTCAACAATTAAAAACCGTTGAAGCACTACATATTTTATTGTTCGTATATAAGTTTATTTAAATTTTTCTGGATGTCTGGCCCATGCAAACCAACTAGCGGTGAATGTTCATATCAAAAAGTGACAAACAAAGTTATTTAAGGCAATAAAATTATGGATGAAACAAAAGTATATGATGCCTAATTCATACCAAAGCTATAACACCCTTCATAAATAAAAAGTTTCCGTACACGAACTTCATTTTCATCGATCAGTTGGTATGCCAACTATAGGCTATCTTAACAATATATTCCGAGATTGTACCGTTGCCCTTAACAATAATCTATGTTAAATTTCAAAAAGAAATCTCGTCAAATAAAAAAGCTCTCTAAACTAGAACTTGATTTGCGTTGATCACTTGGTATGGTAGTTATATGCAATAGTAGTCCGATCTGAACAATTTCTTTCGAAGTTGTAGCGTTACCTTGAACAATAATCTGTGACAAATTATGTGATGCTAATCAAAAAAGTTTCCCGTACAAAGGGCATGATTTTTATAGTTCAGTTTGTTTGGCAACTATATTTTACGGAAGTCCGATATTGGCGGTTCCCAGAAATAAACAGCTTCTTGAGAAGAAAAAGACGTGTGCAAAATTTCAGAACGATATCTTAAGAACTGAGTGACTAGTACACATATATACAGACTGACATAGCTAAATCGCATCAATTCGTCACGCTAGTTTGATAAAATAGTTTTATTTAGTATAACATACCAGTGAATTAATGTGTTCATAAACTTTTTTACATCTTAGGAGATAACACATATGCGCATATAAATTTTAACTCATAAATATTTAATGCAATATATCTACTTACCATATAAAGATATATGTGTGTATGTTTATACACTTATAAAGCATTTATTTCTTTTCTTTGAGAAAAAATAAGTTACAATCCTTTTCCTAAAAACCACAAGAGTATTACTCAACATTAAATAATTTCAATTGCACTGAAAGTTATTAATCATAACCTCAAATTCTATTTATGTATATATTCACACTGCACAATTACATAAACATATTTCGCTTTGTTTTGGCAACGTTAGCGAAAATGATAAATTAATCGACCTGAAAATCTGCTATTTGTAAAAAATCTTATTTTATATAACCGTACTTATTCATCATTTTCATTTTATTAATTTGTCTTTCAGCACTGCACAAAAATGACTTTGAAGCATCAAATGGAATTGGAATAAGGCATTTAATTAATGGCGAAAGTCATCAGTAAATAAATATATTTACATACAAGCCGTTCCTGTCTTAATATAAAGTAGGCATACACACGTACTTGCATAGATATACAAATAACAACTTAATCAATTCCATCACAGCATCTTGCCCCCACCGCCACGCGCTTGTGTACGAGCAACTACCGTTGAAAATGTATGGTTTACTATTGGAGAATCTCTCCGAATATATTAAATCAGTGTACGGCGAAGAGAAATGGGAAGACATACGACGTCAGGCTGGTATCGACTCGCCATCGTTCAGTGTACATCAAGTCTACCCGGAGAATATGCTGAACAAGTTGGCGAAGAAGGCGCAACAGGTAAGCAAAGTGAAAAAAATATTGACACTAAAAATTGCAAGTAATTGAACGCTACAATAATTGAGTTATATTGATGGATGTCGAGCCACTAATGGACATTCCTCAATAAATTCATGTTATTTTTTATAAGTCAGATAAATCAGGTAGTAGCTTAAACTGCTTCAATTCAACGTAAGCGGTAAATTGGCTTTTTAAAAAATAAAAATAAATCACAATATTCATATAATAATAAGTAATGGGTTCACGTTCCGGAAAACTGGCTTTACTAAAATTTTATACTATCTCTAGGTATTAGGGAAGGAGAAAGCCTCGGCCAAACATCCGCCACGTTCTAAACCTTAAGAATTATGATAACTGCTGATAAATAAAAATTTCTTCAACTCAATAATTGATCAGATCAAAACTAACTAATCAAACACGCAGAGATACACCGGGTTCTTCTCTGTATCATTGCTTTTGTTGTTAAATTCAAAGAATCCTACCCATGTAAATCCTTGAGATTTTTTAATGGTTAATCACCTCGTTCGATACTAAATGTCACGAAAAAAAACATTATAAGAAGCATATGAATGTATGTTCAATTTTTTTATTCATCGAAAGAGAGACTATAGCATTTCGTTATTTTATGGCAACTTGTAATTTTCTTCTTGTTTTCTTCTTCTATGGAAGAATATCTGCTCTTAATACTATTGTCCTATTGTTATTTTTATATTCTTGCAACATGTTGCTACTGAGTATAATAGTTTTGTTAACCTAACAATTTTTTGTATCACCTACTACCAATCGAGATAGTTATAGGGTTTTATATTTATATATAAATAATCAGTATGACGAGACGAGTTGAAATCCGGATGTCTGTCTGTCCTGTTACTTGAGTAAAAATTGATATATCGTCATGAAACTTGGTACACATGTTTCTTGGCAGCATAAAGTGGTTGTCCACAAAATGCAAATAATGAAAAACCTATAAATTGCCATAACTAACCTCCACAATGAGATACAAGACTGTTATTTCGTACAATGAATCGCATAAGGGATGGGAATCTGTGGTTTTAAAAATTTTGAAAAAATGTGCGTGACCCCGCCCCCTAATACAAGTAGTTATAATGTATATATCTCTCCAACCATTCAAGCTAGAACATCCAAATTTGCACAGAATAAATCATTTTAAGAGATCTCCTCCTCGCGCGCCTTTATTGCGAAAATAGACGAAAGCGGACTACAATCACGCATACTTCCCATATAAACCAATTTTAAATTCCATCTGATTAAATTTTTCACTTTTTAGCATAAAATTCAAAGATATATGAATATTACTAGGATACAATTTTGCAAAAATAGTGCTACTTAGGCACGCCCTCTCGAAAAATCGAACGAAAACTGCTCAAGTCCCCTTATATCGAATATGTCAATCTGTGAGATATATTTTTGAAATTGGAGAATGTTTATTTGATAATAATATACGAGTACGTACCTTTGTGTTAAAAATGGGTTACATGGGGTCAATACTTTCCCTTAACCCCTATATCGCAGGTATATGAGTTATCTTAATGAAATTGAGAGAGCGTGTTTATCTAATAACGATGCAACTTTGTGCCTAAAATGGATAAAATCGGGTCAAAAATGTCCCTAGACCCCCTAGATCAGGACTTTCAAACATCTAGTTGAGGAATTGTTTTGAATTGCCTTTTATCTTAGTATGAGTATTGTCTGAAAAGTACTTTACCTCACCACCCGATGGCGCGACTGTCACTATTATTTCAAATGAGACTTAATCCTAGTTTTGTATCAAAGATTTTTGAAAAAATTAAAGAAGAACAATTGCAGTCGTTGATCCGATTATTGTTTTTTGAAGCGAAATTCCGCGAGAAAATCAAAGAGTGCTTGAATGCTATCGCACCAGGTGCTTCTACGTATCTCGTATTAGCACGCCGTCGATTAAAGTTGCGCAAGATAGCTGTGAAAGTAGGCATCTCCAAAAATCGCATGGGTCATATCCTGCATGAAATATTAGACATAAGAAAGGTGTCGACGCGTTGGGTACCGTTGCAGACAACAAGCGCAATCGTGAGACTACTTCACAGCAACGTTTGATGCTGTTCAAGCACAATCCGAACGCGTTTGGAACCCACTTGTACAACAATAATTCGCTTGTACAAGAGACCAAGGAACAGTCGAAACAGTTGATTTCATTTCGATGAATCTGCTTCGAAGAAAGTGAATTGGCGTGTCCGTTGGAAATTTGATGACCACCATTTACTGGGATTCACACGATGTCACTCTACAACTACTGAAGACTCTGGCCTGGAGAGGGGCATAACGGAGACCGGGATCTGATATGCCGAATTATTAAATTAGAGTTATCCGAGTGTACCTGAATTGCCATTACCACTTAGCTTCCAAATACCTAATCAACTACTTGACTGTCTGTTTGAACAGTGTTAGAAAATCCTCGTATATATGAAAAAAAAAATTTAGTCACGCTCACAAAATGCTCAATATTTATTACGCTTCATCTTTGCTGAATCTTTTTATTGCTTTCTACGAAGGAACGTTTATAAAGGTTTTTGTTGGTTCTAACCACATAAGCAGCAATTTGTCTGCGCCTTATCTCACAATCGTCAACAAACTCATATTTAAACTACAATATAATGATGTTTCCATAAATGCCTTACTCGTATTTTTTCAGGTACTCGGCGTCTCCGAGCACGAATTCATGGATCAAATGGGTGTGTACTTTGTCGGCTTTGTCGGACAATATGGTTACGATCGCGTACTCTCTGTGCTTGGTCGGCATATGCGTGACTTCCTTAATGGTCTCGATAATCTGCATGAATATTTAAAATTCTCATATCCACGCATGCGAGCGCCATCATTTATTTGCGAAAACGAAACGCGGCAGGGTCTCACATTACACTATCGCTCAAAGCGGCGCGGCTTCGTCTACTACACAATGGGGCAAATACGTGAAGTGGCGCGACATTTCTACCACAAGGAGATGCATATCGAACTAGTACGCGAAGAGATACTATTCGACACCGTACATGTGACATTTCAATTGACATTTGATAATCGTGCATTTACGCTTGCATCGCTGGCGATGACAAGGGAAGAGAAGCATTTACCTATCAGTGCACATGTGCTCTTCGAGATATTCCCATTTTGTATTGTATTCGGGTAAGTAAATATATACATAGTATATACTTACCACTTGCCTCAAATAAGCATCAGCGAAGGCGCCCAGTGCCATTTGTCAATTGTTGGGTTGCCTACTTTATGGCTACCAGTCAGTAAATACCAACTGCCTGTCATTTGATTACAGCAACTGCACTTGTGTTGCGAATTTAATTATGTGGCCCAGCAGTGCATTTGAGCGCCAGCACGTAAACTGGGGCAAACGCATTGAATGCAGCTGTTGCCAGCGTAATACTTGTTACAGATATCTTCAGCGAATTTTTTTGTTTGTTTTTATTTTCTTTTCACTTATATGCGGCGACTTCGATACTATTGGTGACCTGCAGTGCCGATATGGTGGTACGCAGCATTGGCAATTCTCTCATGGTTATCTTACCCGATCTACTAGGGCAAAAAATTACCGCCTGGTTTGACCTGGTGCGTCCATTAATTGCCTTCAAATTCCAAACTGTAAGTAGATTTGATGTTAATGAGCGCTATTCAGTAATTTATAGTGAGACAATTGAATGAAAAGCTGAAATTGGTTTGGAAAAGAAGTGATAATTACAAAACTACTTTAACAAGCTATGCCTCAAGCAATTGTCTTTTATTTATAACTACAATATACAAAAAGTCTGATTCATTGCATTTTTTCCATATATATTTAGATTTTAAATCGAACAAATAACATTTTTGAATTGGTCACGGTAGAACCAGTTACCGATCGCGTCGATATTCAACCCTCCACCGAGTTGCTGTTGCACGATGACGGTTCCGAGCCTGAAAAGACGCTGCGTTTAAAAGGTAATTACAATAATAAAATATAAATATTTATTTTTATACGAAAATTTCATCTACTGTATGTCAATTAATACAATCTCATATTAAGACGCATTATACAAGTAAGTGAGAAAAAAATTCGAAACAAGGGATACAACCGCCACCGTAATTACTATTCTTTTGCTATACGTGATGTCATTGGCATTCCAAGAAATCACTTTCTCAACATATACTTATTGAGTTCCATGCTTTTAAACATAATTTGGTTGAGGATAAGTAAGAAAAAAGGTTGAGGTTAGGTTTAGTTAATCTGGCTGCCAATAATCTACACACAGACCTTATATTATCTTTATATATATGGTATGTAAAATTCTACAAAAATTTTAAGAAACTATTATAAAAACTCCTTTTCATAAGATATAATATTATGGCTCAAAAGTTCCAATACCGAGCGTACATTACACCTTTAATAGCAAACGAGTTTTTAAAAGTCAACAATATACCTAATATTCCCCGTTCAAGTCATATATTTAACAAAATATTTTTCGAAAAATCTCATATTTAAAGTAAATATATATTAATTGTAGTTCGAAGCTCTTTTTTCTATAGCAGATAAAATTATTGTAAAAAAATTTTACGAACGTTAATAAAATGAATAGCTTAAACAGATGAGGAATCACATCCACCATACTAATTCTTAATTATTCCATATTTTTTTTGATTTAAAAAAATGTCTATACAACACAAACACGTCGACAGCATTTTACTAAAGTTTTCAGATTATTTTCGATAGAAGCTCCAATTGAATAATACATAAACCTAACTTTGACTTCAGGTCAAATGGTCTACATGGAGAATTGGCGTATGATCATGTTTCTTGGTACACCAGTTATGCCTGATCTCAACTCACTCATAACAACGGGCCTTTATATTAACGATTTGTCAATGCACGACTTCAGCAGGTAAATAAAAGATTGTCTTTACAGTCTTTACTTTATTAATACTCCATTGATATCTTCAGAGATCTCATGTTGGCCGGCACGCAGCAGTCAGTCGAACTCAAATTAGCGCTCGATCAGGAACAACAAAAGTCAAAGAAACTGGAAGAGTCTATGCGCAAACTGGACGAAGAAATGAGACGTACAGATGAGTTGCTTTACCAAATGATACCTAAGCAGGTGGCTGATCGTTTGAGACGCGGAGAGAATCCTATTGACACGTGTGAGGTGATGATTCCAAAATTTAAAATACCATAATTGGCTAAGGCTTAACACGATTTCGCCACCATTTCATCTCTTACAGATGTTCGACTGTGTTTCTATACTTTTCGCTGATGTTGTTACATTCACCGAAATCTGCAGTCGCATCACACCCATGGAGGTGGTTTCCATGTTAAATGCTATGTATTCTATATTCGACACGCTAACCGAAAGAAATAATGTCTACAAAGTAGAAACAATTGGTGATGCCTACATGGTTGTGTCGGGTGCGCCAGAAAAGTCTGTCAATCATGCGGATAAAGTTTGTGATATGGCCTTAGATATGGTGGATGCCATCACTGATCTGAAAGATCCATCAACGGGTCAGCATTTGCGCATACGTGTCGGTGTGCATTCCGGTGCAGTGGTTGCGGGTATTGTTGGCTTAAAAATGCCGCGATATTGTCTCTTTGGTGATTCGGTGAATACGGCATCACGTATGGAATCCACGGGCTCTGCAATGAAAGTTCACGTCTCCGAGCCGGCGAAAAAATTTCTTAGCCCTTATTATAAGCTAACGGAACGCGGTGAAATCGATGTCAAAGGGAAGGGTCCAATGAAGACATACTGGTTGGAAGAGCGTGAAAATCGGAAATCATTAGAATTGCCACCCGAACTTTTCCACCCAATTTCAACGTTTACAGCACCAACAGTAACTGCTGCGACCTCAATTCCGTCTGCAGCAGTCTTCACATCCGACCGTCGTTTGAGTGTTTCGCAAACTTTAAAAGCAATTATGCCAGCTGCTGCTCAACCGGTTATTGGTTCGGTGGAGCGTATGCAGTTGGCTAATGCTACAAGTGCTATGATCAATTCAATGGATGCAGCGAGCGCGGCAAGTACGACGTCACCACCACAGACCAGCGCTGGTAAGGAACGTGGTCGTATTTACTCACCTGTAACCTTCACAGATATAGCGCGACGCAGCATAGCAAATTCACCGGTACGCAATTCATTTGGTAGCAATGAGTGTGGTCGTGAATCGCGCTCCAATTCTATGGGTCATGTTTTTATGCGTACACCCAGCGACATTTTCGGTTCGCTCATATTGGATACTGAAGAATTTTTAGAAGATTTGCAATACTCACGCAGTTCATTGGTCAATAGTGGCACCACCTCATCGCTTTGTCCATATAGTCCAGCACCTACTTTTCGCATAGGTAGCGCACCGTCCAAACCACGACCAAATAATCCGGATCAATTTACACCCGAAGAGTTGGCTGCTATGGATCAGATTACCCCACCGTCGACAGCACCGCCACGAGAAACTGTCACCTGCAAAGTGGCACCAACCACATCGTCAGCGTCGTTGGAAAAATCAAAGGCTAGGTAGGTATAGTCACAATGGGTGCAAGTCAAGCGTGTTTGTGAGTGGAAATTGATTTTCAAACTCGTCGCAAGAATTTTTAGCCGAAATAAATTATTTGTAAGTGTCTCTCGAATTACGTTTGAATATTAAATTTTAATTTTCTTGTAACTAATATTATTAAAAACGATCTTGGCTAACCAAAATTGTTCCACATATCTAGTATTGCAATTAACTTTTCCTCTCACCGACCAAAATGTATATTAGGAACTGGAGCGTTCTTTCATTACTGTTGTTCTACTCTTTCTTAATATTAGTTAATTTATTTTTATTAAGTTAAAACAAGCGCCGAAGTGCTATTGTTTTGTTCCTTCCAGATCTTAATGTGGACAAGACCCAATCCGTACAGACGCTGTAATTTAATTGAAAACTTCACATTATATAATATGTTAGCTCAAAATATTACTCTTTTTAGTCTTCACGGTTGCTGGCGCAAAAGTGTCCATAAATCTTTCCGAAATATCGCTTCTTTCTGCTCCATTGAGATATGGTTTTTGGTTGGTGTTCTCGATTAATAAATCATTAACAAAATATGGGAGTGATCGATATCGCTGACATGTATAATTTGAATAACCCAACTTTGAAATTTGAGGTGTTACGACTACAAAACAAGAATTCAATTTAACCACTCTTTTCTGCTATGATATTTACCATGTTTTATTTATGTACTTTTTTATTCGTTGTTATACTCGTCTGAATAACTTCTCTTTCTAATTAGAAAAATCACATTTTCACGTAGCCTAACTATATCACAAGAACCAGCTATTTCGCCAAAGCAGCATTTAAAACAGCAAAAATCTCAGGCAACCAATATTTTAAACTCTTCTGTGGCCTCTATACCAGTGCCGATCATACCTAAGGCCACTGCAGTTACAATGCCGACAACGTCAACCGCAAAGACCAAGATGACAAACAACGACATATCATTCGGCAGCAGTCGTACATCATCACGAGAATCGCTGTCACCGTGTTCGCCACCGATTCGTTCTAATTCGGCTCCACTACCTATGTCCAAAGCAGCACGTAAAGCGTTTCTCGCCGCGAAACAAACAAAAGCTATTGAAAAGCTGGATCGCATGATTGAGGAAGCTAATGAAGTTGATGTGCAAAGCAAGCGCGCTAATATGCGGCGTATGGCTGCCTTTCGTGATGAAGGTGGCGGTGATGGGGGTGGTGGTTGTCCGCTATTTTTGCCACCACCGCCAGGCCCGCAAATGACCAACTCTTTATCAGATTCAGGATTGGCGCATCATGGGTGAGTCGTATAAGAATAATATTTGGTATATATTACATATTAGATTATAGATTATATTGTAGATAGATTATATATTATAAATTATAGATTACTGATTATAGATTAAATATTATAGATTACGGATTATAGAATATAGATAGATTATATATTATCGATTACTGATTATAGATTATAGATTAAAGATTATAGATTACAGATTATAGATTATAGATTGTAGATTATATATTATAGATTCTAGATTATAGATTATAGATTATACATTACTGATTATAAATTATAAATTATAGATTATAAATTGTAAATTGAAGATTATATATTATAGATTATAGATTACTGATCATAGATTAAAGACTATAGATTACAGATTATAGATTATAGATTATAGGCAGATTATATGTTATATATTATTGTATATATTACTCATTATAGATTAAAGACGATAGATTACAGATTATAGATTTTAAATTGTAGATTATACATTATAGATTATAGATTAGTGATTATTGATTAAATACTATATATTACAGATCATATATTATAGATAAAATATATATTATAGATTTTAGACTATCAATTATAGATAGATTATAAATTATAGATTTTATATTATAGATTATAGATAGATTATATATTACTGATTATATATTAAGGACTATAGATTACAGATTATAGATTATAGATTATAGATTATAGATTATAGATTATAGATTAAAGATTATAGATTATATTTGGTATATAGATTATAGATTACGGATTATATTATATATTATAGATTATATTTGGTATACATAATATTACATATTGGACTATAAATTATAGATTACGGATTATAGATTGTAGATTACGGATTAAAGATTATATATAATATTATATACTTGTATTATAGATTATAGATCATAGATTATAGATTACAGATAATAAACTATAGATTACGGACTATAGATTATAGTTTATAGTTCATAGTTTAACAATATTGATAATAGATTATTTATTGTTTAAATGTTTTTTCCCCCATGCGTTTAGACATAACCACAATTACTCGCAAATGCACTATGCTACTTGTCACCATGCACACGAGCCGAAGATGTCAAACAGTCACAGTTTCAGTCATACTCGTGCTACTGCGCATCAATGTTGTACCGGCTATAATCACTCAAATGGGCGGCATAGAATGCATTCCAATGCTTGTCAATTATTGTAAAGACCAAAGATAATCGAATATACACAATATTACGCTAATATCTCAACGTTACTATTGTAGTTATCACTAACAGAGTAAATAAATAATAGACATAGGTATGATGGAAAATAGGTACGAGACATGATGATGTTAATATACAGCGGATATTTGCAAATTTACTGAGAACCGATTAACTATACTAACGTCACTAATTAATGCCTCTCTATGCCTGTATTTATAAGGGTTAATGATGGTGCTAAATGGGTATTCTAGTAAAATTGCAAAAAAATCTCGAAGGAATAATATTTGATACGTATACGAGACTTTTATTAGACCAAATAATAGCATAATTATTTAAAATTAATCTAAGAATAATATATATAAAAAACACAATATATTTATATATGTATGTGCATACCAAATTTTCAAATACAGCTAACAGAAAAATTAATTCTCTATCTATGAGTGTTCCCTAAAAACTAGATAAGTAAACAGTGAAAAAAAATATTTATTATGATGATTGAATAGCAATAATGATATATATATGTAAACGTTATGCATGTGTTTTAAAAGTCGAGCAGTTCAAATTTTGTAAACTTGTTTTAAGAATTTGAGTTTTTTAATTTTTATTCTAATTCTTAATTATTTATGTATTTATTTCTTATTCATATATTTATATTATTTATTTATTTACTTATATAGTCACGTTAAGTGAGTGCATTAGTAGCAGGTAAATTAGTATTTGACTAGACAAGAGTGTTATTGTGGCAGCCTAAAATGTTCGCCCAAATTGTTTTGGGAACTGTTACCTCATTGACATCTCTTGGCCAAATAACGAAATGAGTCTGTTCGACTGTCGTGGGAACAGCTAGAACGGCGGGTGGATTGCATTAAATTATACTGCTGTACTGTGACGCAGTATGGTCTCCGCTTTGGATTTCTCAAGTGGTTCTCTGACCTTAAACAAATGGAGTGCTATCTCGTTTTTATACCCATATACATATGTATGTATGTTTCTATCACGAGACATTAATAGGGGAAAGAAGTCGAAGCGTCTTGACTATTATTATTATAAATAACTTCCTTCCGAACAGCTGGGGCATTTAATATCTTTGATATAGACCTACCGGAAGTTAGCAAATACTGCATTATAATATTTTGGAACAATACAGAAGGTCGCTAGGTATACGAGTATAACTCTCTTCAACTTAAATATTTATACCCTGAACAGGGCATATTAAGTGTGTGACGAAGTTTGTAAGCTTGTAGTTTTTGAGATATTCATTTGACATTTTATGAACGTCCTTTTCTCCCCAAGAAGCTGCTCATTTGTCGGAACCGCCGATATCGGATCACTATAGCTTATACCTGCCATACAAACTCAACGATCCAAGTCATGTCCTTGTACCATATATATGTATATGACAAGATATCTTCACGAAATTTGGCATAGATTATTGTCTAAGGCAACGGTACAATCTCCCAATAAATTGCTCAGTTTGGACCATTATAGCACATATCTGCCATACAAACTGAACGATCAAAATCAAGTTCTTGTAGGGAATTTCTGTTTCTGAAGGGTATTATAGCTTCGGTGCAATCGGAGTTAACGTGTTTCTTGTTTTTATGCTTATTAAAGTATGTAATAAGTATAAATTTTTATGAACAAAATTTATCACAACTGTAAAAAGCAAAAATTAAAAAATAATAAATAGTTAATGTTGAAATTGTAATTAAATAAATTTAAAAAATCCCTTTAATATCGATATATATAATTAATATAGATATTAGCGCCTAATAATATGGAAAGGCTAAGCTTCGTTTTCAGGAGAGACTGCAAAGGCTTCACTGAATGTTATAAACCAATTTCGAGCTTTTAAAAGATTTTTAGCAATAAGTAACTAAGGTATTTGTTAACTCTTTGATTTATTGAAAAGTACAAGTAAAAAAAAACTTTTTAGTGTAAAAATCAAAAAATGAAAAATATATACATATATACTAACAGGATACTAAAAGTAATACCTCTTCAAACGACAATATACGAGTGGACTAACGAGTGAATACTATTAGCAAAATTGTACAAAGCGAATTGAAGAAAAAATGAGGAATTGCAGAAATAAAATTGAGAAAAATAATAACAAATTATCATAATGATGAAAGTTATAAAAAATAAAATACTAATAATTAACATTTAAAATGAAATGGAAGCATGAATTACATACTAGCAGTTTATAAAAGAAAATAATTAAAATGTTTGAAAATATATTTTAAAAAAATTATTAAGCAAAACTAAAGCAGACAAAAATATAATATAACAATAATGAAATTCTAAATGTTGCGGCAGAAGATACTCAATGTAACGGTAGTAGTTAATTTATTTCAATACAGAGAATGCATATCTTTTAATCAAAAAATTATTTAAAAATTACAAACGAAATGTACAAAGAAAGAAAATTACGGCGAAAAATATTTTTCTAGAAACGGAAAATTAAAAAAAACATATTGTAGTATAAATTGAGTTACATATATTTCCTTGAAGACTAAGTCTAAGCGGCGGTACGCTTATATGTACTTATGTGTGTATGTATGTATGCACTAATATAAACATAATAGAGGCTTAAGAATACTCATAGCAATGTATTTACCCATGTGTGTATGTATGTATTTACTCTATACCTATATAGCTTATTACAATTTTTAAATGTGAGTCTGCGCAACCAAATTGGCAAATGCAATAAATCAAAATACATATGCATTAATATAAATTTGTAATTTTCGCATTAACTTGTTACTAATTACTTATGGAATTAAGCACGAAAGAACGCGCGCGCTAAAACAAATTTGATGGGTTCTATTATATTATAGTATAAAGTGAATTAAATCAAAATAGTTTGCGATAATTATGTCGTCATTGTTGTGCTTGGTTAAATTTAAGCAGCTTTTTAAGTGAAACGAATTTGTGCAAGTAAAAATCTTTAAAGAAATTGAATAAACAGAATGATGTTAAATATGTTTTTTTTACTCGCCAATAGTACTAAAGGAGGACCATAACAAGGAAAGTTACACTTGTAAATAGAGCGAACTTATGGCACGGTTGTTTAGACACTGTAAGCATTCTGTAGATTTATTAAATCTTGTTACTACACTTTATTTTCAAACTTACATTCAATAGAAGGTTTCGTTTTTCTCTGGCTTTTCTTCTTTTGTTCAATATTTGATCAAAAAATGTCTACGCTTCACTCCATTTCATCGATAAGTAAATGAATTTCCATTTTGCTTTATCGAAGCAATTTGTTTTCGGCAAAACAGGCAGCAGACAAGCAACGAAGTATCAAATACGTATATGCCACAGAGTTGCTGTACTGCTGTAATTATTACGTAGCTCGAATGCACCCATACTCGCAGATTTAACAGTGTTTGTCGCGCGATTAGCCCTTTATTCTACTCTTTTATCGTCGAATTGCTGCGACATACATAATTACTCCTTTTCATGTTGCATAGAGCGACTGTAAAGTGAGTGCTCAAAATTGTTTTCATTCTGGCTTTCTCGAAACCACTCCAAAATTTAGCGGATGGTTTTCGTTTGGTAGATTTAGAAATCAAAACTTACAACAACAAACACGCTAAAAATATGTTTGAAGTAGGAGTAGCTAGCTTCTTTAAGAACAAAATCATACACTGCTCTGACCAAAACACCGCTGGCCGAGGCTTCCTATTTAAGGAAGCTAAAAAGTGTGGTAGTAATCAAAGTTTAAATTTTACATTACAAATTTCCTATCTCAAAAAGTCGGTATCTTAAACAAAAGTACTTGCCACATTGGAGTGTCCATTTCTGCTAATATTGTTATAGAGTTATGTGAGATATTGGTATCGAGTTCATTAAAAATTATGCATGGCGTTGCATTGGATGATTAGATGTTAGAGCAGTGACGTTTCAGATCAGTATTTGCAGCATAATGCTACTCCGTAGTGGATACAGAACTGCTTTCTGAAGAGGTTTTTGCTTTCAATATATTTTTTAATACTGATGTTACTTCGCAAATTTTTTAAAATTCAAATTAAAATTATACGACCGCCAATGATGCACTACAAATGAAATCAATTTAATTAATGTTACTATTTTGGATTTGCGTTTTGCACGCTATTATACCAAGTCTCCAAACCCTTGACAAGTTAGTGTATGTACCCTACAGTACAGTCCACGAATATTGTTACTTAAATGTGAAAAGAATAATATGTTCGGCTTACGAGTACATTTGAAGTAAGGGTGTGGCACCGCCTACTTTTGGCTAAAATTACATATCTCACAAAATAACTGAACAAATTTTAAATTTGTATTCTTAGTAATAAATCTAACGAAACAAAACATGACACATATAATAAGTCTGTACAACACTTGCCAAGTCTCTTCCCCAGATATGTATGAAATCGGCAAAATTCAGCACCCAGGCATCGAATATAGTAATATAGGTCTTTCTATGTGGCTTTATACTGCATATATAGTTCCATATATGAGATATTTTGTTAAAATTAGATAAGCATGCCTTTCCGATCATAGTTCAAGGTATGGCGATCAAAGTGGGTAAAAAGCGTTTGTACTCACTCCTAATTGCTAAAGAACCCATATAATGATTTCCGTACTTGAAATTTATTTTATAACCTTTATATCACCCAGAATGTAAGAATAATTAATCGTAATAAAATTAAACTAGAATGTTAATAGAAGTCAATTGATAAACAAATTACGTTTTTCATATAACGAGTATACTAAGTTCAGAAGTTTAACATTTAAAATAGACCCCAAATGACGATAATGAGACTTTAAAATGATATTTGGTATACGACCCTCTGACCCTAAGCATAAGGTCCTAAACTGGCCACAATTACTCCATAAATTTGTCTTAAGAATATTTATTTTCGAAGCAACATTTTGGTTACCCTAACATTTATAGAAACCTATACAGCTCTCTTCTTACATTCATTAAATCTGCGAGAGCATTCTGTCTTCCATACACTGTTAACGAAACCTATGCTACTGTATTTATACCCTGATTAGGGTACATTAAATTTGCCACGATATTTGTAACAATTTTTTTATAAATTCTGCATAGATTATTATACAAGACAGCGCTAAAATCTCCGAATATATTGTTCAGGTCGGACAACTATAGCATATAGCTGCTATACATACCGATCAAAATCCCGATTGGAATCTTTTTATACACTATTTTATAAAAAATGCACCTGTGAAGGGTATTATAGCTTCGGTGCAGCCGAAGTTTACGTTTTTTCTTGTTTACAATTTATTTTACACGTGAAATTTTGGCAGTGTTTATTGTACGTAAGGGTATTTTTATTTTGAATACTTTTTGTATGTAAACTTTGAATATCCTTCTACAATAATATATAAATATTTTTATTTTGTAGAATTTGTGAGTGGTATTTAGAACCACTTATATATTTGTATAAACGTAAAACGTAACGTGCTTTAAGCTCAATCAGCGTCTACTTTTTTTGCATTAATAATATTGCCAGCTTGAATTTTTGTTGAATTGTAAGTAATTTTCTATTTTGTTTTTATTTAAATTTTGAATTTTGCTATTTTACAAGTAATAGCCGTTATATAAAACTTCATTATAATTGCTTGAATAAATTGCTCTAAAGCGTGCTTTTAAGTGCAATAAAATATTTGTCATATTCACACATTGCAATCTATGTGTGTTTGCTGTTGGAGGCCTGTTTGTGTGTTATATATATATATATATATATATATTTATATATAAGTATATCGCGAGTGTAAACGTGTTTATTCGTTCATTAAAGCGTATCACAATAACATTTAAAGCTAAAACAAATGCATCTCTTTTTTCATTTTGTAAAAATTTGTAACTTTGGTAAACTTTTTTTTTGTTTTTATAAATATAATTTCAGGCAGTTTTAATTGTTAATTAAGTTTACTAAAGTAGTCACAAATATTTGACTAGAATCAGGTGGGTCAAGCAATATTTAACACTTCGTATGAAATGTTGTGACACATAGCTTTACTAAATCTCATAGAATGTTGGTGCTGATGTATATTCGTTGTTGTTGTAAATCACTGTGCCTTCATTAGTTTCGATGGTTTTTATAAGTGTCTTGCAATAGAAGCAGACCTTCGAATTCATTAGATGTTGCATAATGCAATTACTACACGATTGGTGTTTGCACGGCGTAAAAATCACCGTTATCGGTTTGGCACAACAAATCGGACAAAGAGAATCCTCCGAAGGCAATGTAATATCTGAGAGTAGCGATTGTTTCAAACGCAACATTTCAATAAGACGACGTACTTCTTCAATTTCAGCCGCTGTGACGTGTGTGGGATCTGTTGTCAGAGAAGGTGTAGTATTTAAAAATTATTTCAATAAAAAAAAATTTCAACGCGAAATTAAACTTACAATCAGAGAGCGCAAATTTAATGATCGGCGGGTCAGCGCGT